ATTGCACTAGATTATTCACAAAATATTGCTGTTTCTCATACTTTACTACACGATGTATACATGGATGATTTGCTATCGGGTTCAAGTACCGATATAGTGATGCAATATCACTTTGTAAGGAAATTACCAATATTTTACAAACGCACGGTTTCCACCTACGAAAGTGGAATTCTAATTCAAATGCATTTCTTGCAGAATTTCAAGAACATTGTTCAACGGACACTAATTTAGAAATAATTCCTAATGATAAGGAAAGCACGAAAGTCTTAGGATTATTTTGGAACTCTTCAACAGACACATTCATTTTCAAACCCGCACTTGCACTCACCTCACCGCTGACAAAAAGACACATTTTGTCCCAATCGGCACGCATTTTCGATCCATTAGGATTAATTTCACCATGTACTGTTGTATTGAAAATTTTTTATCAAAAGCTCTGGCTTACAAAAGGGGACTGGGATTCTCCTATTCCACAAAGTCTTGCTGAAGATTTGTTTAAATTTCAGAAATCTTTCAATGCAGTTGAGTTGAACATTTTACCGTTCCTAGAGGTGTCACGCTTATTTCCTCTGACACATTTGAATTGCACGGCTTTTGCGACGCTTCAACACTTGCTTACGCTGCTGCAATATATTGCAAACAAATACACGGAAATGAAATAAAGGTTTCTCTCTTAGTTTCTAAAACTAAAGTCGCACCTATCAAAGAAGTATCTGTTCCTAAATTGGAACTATATGCAATGCTCATTGCTATGCAATGCTCATTTGCTTTCAAAGTTATATCGTGCAGTCATGAACACTCTCAAAAAATATAAGTTTGATGTTTACGCTTGGACTGACTCCAAAGTCGTACTTTCCTGGCTTTCGGCACATCCCCGTAAATGGAAGACTTTTGTTGCAAACCGGACGTCTCAAATAATCGAAGTACTTCCAACAAAATACTGGAGGCATGTCCCTTCCAAAGAGAACCCAGCAGGTATCGCTTCGCGTGGTATTGATCCCAAATGTCTTCCTAATTTCAACTTGTGGTGGAATGGCCCAAGTTGGCTTTTTTGGATTCGTCTCACTGGCCGAAAGAGGAATCCGCTTCCAAAGAAATCAAGGATCTAATTAAAGCTGAACAAAGATCTGATCCTATATTTTCATTTCATAGTGCTACATCAAATGAATTATATAGTGATTTATTTGAAAAATATTCATCATTTTCTAAGATTATACGCATTTTAGCATATTGTTTAAGATTCATCAATAAGTGCAAAACCAATAACAAATGTCAAACACTTATAACTGATTCCTTTTCTCCACTCACTTACACGGAAACTAAAAATGCAGAAATAATCATAATTCGATGGGTTCAGAAAGATTATTTTAATGAAGACCTAAAATGCATTAAAAATCAAAGATCGTTGCCTAAGAAAAGTCAGCTACACTCCCTCCATCCGTTTATAGATGAAAACAGTCTTTTACGGGTGGGAGGGCGTTTACAAAATTCAGAATTGTCTTTTAATCAAAAGCACCCAGTGATTCTACCTGCTAAACACAAGATAAGTAAGTGAGCTCATCGTAAAAGAAAAGCATGTGACTTATTTACATGCTGGTGCTTCATTACTGTCCCACATTATCAAACAATCATATTGGATCAATAGGTGGAAAAAAGCTCATTAATAAATGTGTTCACAAATGCATCAAATGCTTCAAATTTAAAGCATCCACCGCATCTCAGCTTATGGGTAATCTACCTAAGCATCGTGTAACACTCGAGAGGCCTTTCTTCAACTGCGGAGTGGACTATGCCGGTCCTATTTCAATCAAATTCAACAAGGGTCGTGGAGCAAAATCAACCAAGGGTTACATTGCTCTATTTATTTGTCTCGCTACTAAGGCACTACACATCGAGGCAGTGAGCGATTTAACCGCTGATGCATTTTTAGCTGCTTTGCGTCGCTTCAGTGCTAGACGAGGAGCTCCAAGTCACATTTACAGCGACAATGCAACAAACTTCGTTGGGGCTAATCGAAAGCTCAGCGAAATACAACGATTGTGGGCTTCACTTCCTAAGAACGAAGCCGTTGCTCATCATTTAACTCAAGCATCAATAGAATGGCACTTTATACCTCCAGCATCTCCTCATTTCGGAGGAATTTGGGAGGCCGCAATTAAATCAACCAAATATCACTGTAAAAGAGTAATAGGTGAAACGCTACTTACTTTCGAAGAATTGACAACTCTATTGGCTCAGATAGAAGCCATTTTAAATTCTCGTCCGTTATGTAGTGTAAACAATACTGACATTGATTGCATTAATATTCTCACTCCTTCACATTTTCTTACAGGAGACGTGATCCTATCCCCTCCTGAACTACCTCTTACTAGTCCTGCCAATATACGGAATAGGTGGGATCTCCTTCAAAAGATGCGCAAGGACTTCTGCAAATCATGGACCAAAGCATATCTATCTTCTCTTCAAACCAGAAAGAAATGGAAGGACACTCAGCCGAATATGAAAAAATTGGAGACATCGTCCTGTTACTAGATGATGGTCATCTTCCAGGTTCTTGGCCACTAGGACAAGTGGTCGAACTTCATCATGGTGCTGCCGGACTGGTTCGTGTGGCCACGGTTAAAACTAAAAACTCTATTTTTAAAAGAAACATTCATAAATTAGCACCTTTGCCCATATATCAGGACTAATGCCTGATAGGGTGGGAGTATGTTCCGGTGCGCCGGAACAGAACAACTCAACCTGACTCTTTCGCTTTTGGAACTATGCCAAAGAACATTGAATTCAGTTGAACAGTCAGACTCAGACGAACGCATTCGCAAGGCAGCTGCAATGCTGTCTATTTTTCACTATTTTTGTTCTGTTCTCGTACTTATAAGTGTTATATGTCATTTTCTTGTTTATACTTGTATTGTGCAATTATTTAATATAAGTTTTGTGTTTAAAACGAGGACGTGTAGAGTTTCACATTACATGCAACAACATTCTTTAAGAATAATTTGTGCTTTCTTAAATAAACAAATATAAATCTCATATTTATATAAATTATTAATGTAAGTGATCTAGCGCCGATGTCGCATGGTAAACAAAATAAGGAATTTAAAAAGCAATATTCATTGTGGTTGAGCGCTGTCGGCGAAGTAGATTTAATTCAATCCAATAAGTTTAAATTAAATGCAAGAAAAAATGCGTATAATTTAATATTCCAATACAAGGAAGTCATGTGGTGTACACATCAGTTTTTTTTTTTTTTTGGTGTGTGTGTGTGTGTGTGTGTGCAGTGTACATCAATTTTATTTTGAATAAGAATTGCTGGTAACTCAAGTGACAGATAAAAATTGCCAAAAATTACACAACTTTTCCCAAAAAAGGTTCCATGAGCATCATCACTAATTTTGTAGAAAGTCGAGGTACTGGACATATCCTGACTTTGCTTTAGCAAGTACAAACAACTTTACTCCAAAGCAAAGTCTTTTCAAAGCTATGTATTATACCCGTGATAGTTTTCCTTTGCATTCCAAAGCTGTTTGAGTAGTTATAAGGCTAGACACAAATGAAGGAGCATGTATTTGGTAAAGATGTACATTTATGCCCTTGGTAGTTAAGGTGTTAAGAAAACTGCCTGGTGAATGTTTGAGATTCAAATTGCAAATAATTCCATTGATAAATTCTTTATTCAAAGCCACTGAAGATATCCCTATGCCTAGCCAAAACTAATTTCTAGTTGTCATATATATTAAAAATTAACACACTTTGGTCTAAATTATTATATCCACAATATTCTGCAAATGTTATTACTTATATGATTATTATTATCTTTTGGTACTGATAAATACAATTCATTTATATTTAATGTCCTGGTAGTATTACATTGTTCCACTTTCCATTTGTGTGCTTCTTTGGTGTTAGCAATTTACCCCACATAAAACATATCAATTATTGCAAAATTTACCTGAAATATACTTGTATTAGAACTTATTGAATTAAAACGCATGTTGTGCAACGGACTTTTAACATGCTATGCATACAAGGTATGAGGACACTTAAGTGCAATTTTGAAATGTTGCTTAAATTTGTAAAGGGCTAATATTATATATTTATACAAACCGTTATACAGGATTCATACACATTTTTGCACACATAAATTAAGTACTTTTAAGGACCATTAATGAAAAAATTAAGGACCTATGAGCAAATGGGAACTGAAAAAATTCAATTAAAAATATTATCCACGCCTGAATTTCAATTTGTAATACCATCCGAAAAATAAAATAGATCCATAAGTAGTATGCATAATTACTAAACATGAATTAATTAACATAACTATGCTTTGCTCATTGCTTTCTATATAAAACACAGTCCTCCTCCTCTCATTTTATAATTTTTTTTTCACATGAAAGAGAGGGAACTATGATTGGTATCCTGCAAAATCAATAGTTTTACTCAAAATCTACACCAAATTCAGACTATTGCTGTCCCTGATTTAAATTTTATATTGGCTGTTTCTTTTCCAATTTAATACCATATTCAGCTTTTAAACCATATCTGTGGAAGGCCAACGAAAATCTTTATATACAGATAAGTAAAAATCTTCAAGAGGTGAATGCTACAGCTGAAAAAGATGTTAAATTGCTTAAGGACTATAATGACATATTAAAAATGCAGGGGGGGGGAGGAGATTTTTACTTTTATGTTACTGAGGTTAATAGATAAGCTGTTCCCATAGAAACCAACAAATAGAAACAGCTTTGGAAGCTTTAAAAAATTAGATGCTTGTTGAATTTTAATTTAAAATTTCATACTTTTTTTATCTAGTTTTGCATTATTATACTAATATCTGCAATTAATTCATCTGGTAGCGACAATCTAATGTTCAGATGGACGGTTTAAAATTCACACACACATTTATTATCTAAAATAGAAAACAAGACACAACTGTCATTTAAAGTACTGAATAACATTTGTATTAATGCTAAAGAAATTCATTTTCAAGAATTTACCTCTTGTTGAGTTTCTTGAGTTTCATTAGGATCCATTACATCATCAGAATCAGATACAAATGGATCATTAACATTGGCTTTTATAGTAATTCTGAAATAAAAATGTAATTAGTAGAAAAATATTTGTGTGAAACACTGAAGCTAAACAACACTTTTTCAAGCTAGAGCAAAATACTACCAAAACAAATTGTATTTTATTGTATAATTTCCCCCGGGGCTTTTAATGGATCTAATTTTAAATGTTTTGCCTTATTTATGCATTTTTCAACTTACAGCATTACTTTAAGAATTGGATTCTTTCATAAGTATAATAAGTTCTTAGAATTTCTCATATTGGTGCCCCTTACACATGCAATCTAATGTCCTTCATTTCATTCTTAAAATCCCATTCAAAGAAATCATCTTCCCCTCTCATGGAGATAAACAGGGAGTGAAACATACCCTGGATTTTTAGTCTGCAAGAGGGTCTGACAAAGAACTGGACTGGAGTACTAAACATCTGCACTCTATAGGAAAATGGAGAGTACATGTAAAAGTGCCCACTGCATTTCTGTGTCTATCTGAAGCTGGTGGCATTTAGTTATATACTATATTATGATTTTTACTCTTTTTAAAATTTTTTATTAAAGGCCTTTATCAAAAATAAGAATTTTTAGATTTAAATAAATCGTTTTTAAAAGAAATTTTATTTCTACCCATAGTCCGAGAAATGGATAGTAATGCACGTTAAGGAAATTAAAAACTAAATAAGTAAAATTAAAGACTAAATTGTTTAGCGCATCTTAGTTATAAAAACTTTTGTAATCACATAAATAAGTCATGTAATGCCTCCTTTCAGAAATCGCATATATCATGTCTGTGCTTTCATTTGATGTACAGCGTTTTATTTTTGATAAGCCATATTTTATTTTTCTGAACAAGGATATAAATTAACTGTTATTGCTATATAGTTTTTCTTTCAGTTTAAAAATTAAATTAAAATGTGGGACCTGCATTCTACAGAACAGCAAAAAATGGATTATTTTCAGTCTTACCATTAAAAAAAAAAAAAAGAGTGCATTAATAGACACAATACGGCCAAAAGAATAATAACTGATTGGAACAATTATGTACATGAAGTTTGCACACATAGCATTCTAAACAGTTTCCTGTAAAACTGGAAGGCCTAGCAAAATAGCAGAAACTTTTATAAAGCGTAATAACAAAAAAGGTTGAATTCTAATTGCTTATTAAATAGATAGGCATCAGTTTCTTCAGAATTCCGGAGAAATGACTTGTGTGATATTTGCCAATTTTCACAGTTCAGTGATATTTAACTTTCATAGTCAGTGAGATAACATCTTAAGTTCCATAAAATAATATGTATTATAACGAGAAATCATAAACAAAATTTCTCTCTTATTTTTTATGTAATGAAATAAGGAAATTTATAAGCATTAAAGTTTTTTAATACAGCTTAACTAAAATTGAATATAAAATTAAGTGTGTGTAATAATTCAATCCTTCAGTCATTAAAAATTTTAATGAAATAACAAAACAAAATATTCCTGCTAGGTTTTCAGCTGCCTTCCATGCAAGGAATATATGATATGGCATGTTTTTCTTCACTGCTTAGTGGTTCAATATACACTGAAGTGACAAAAGTCATGGGATAGCAAAATGCAAATATACAGATAGCAGTAGTATCGCATAGAAAATGTATAAATGCAATAATACATTTCATTATGTAAAATAATGAAATGTGAAGTGCTTTGGCAGGGCTTTCATTTGTGTTCAAGTTATTCATGTGAAGACGCTTTGGCGTGATTACGGCCGCACGAAGAGAATTTACAGACTTTGAATGCGGAATGGTAGTTAGAGCTAGACACATGGGTCATTCCATTTCGGATATTGTTAGGGAATTCAACATTCTGAGAAGATCCACAGTGTCAAGAGTGTGCTGAGAGTATCTAATTTCAGGCATAACATCCCACCATGGACATCGCAGTGGCCGACCACCTGCACTTAACGACTGAGACCAGCGACGACTGCGTAGAATTGTCAATGTTCACAGACAAGCAACACTGAGTCAAATAACCGCAGAAATCAACACGGGACGTGTCCGATAGGACAGTGCGGTGAAATTTGTCTTCCTTGGGCTATGCCAGCAGAAGACCGACTCGAGTGCCTTTACTGACAGCACGACATTGCCTGCAGCGACTCTCGTGGGCTCGTGAGCATATCGGTTGGTCACTAAACGAATGAAAAACCGTGCTTGGTCAGATGAGTCACGATTTCAGTTTGTAAGAGCTGATGGTAGGGTTCGAGTGTGGCACAGACCCCACGAAGCCATGGACCAAAGTTGTCAACAAGGCACTGTTCAAGCTGGTGGTGGTTCCATAATGGTCTGGGCTGTTTTTACATAGCATGGACTCGGTCCTCTGCTGCAACTGAAACGATCATTGACTAGAAATAGATACCTTCAGCTACTTGGAGATCACTTACAGTCATTCATGGACTTCACGTACTCAAACAACGATGGGATTTTTATGGATGACAATGCGCCATGTCACCAGGCCACAATTGTTTGCGATTGGATAGAAGAACATTCTGGACAATTCCAGCGAATGATCTGGCCACCTAGATCGCCCGACATGAATCCCATCGAACATTTATGGGACGTCATCGAGAAGTCAGTTCGTGCCCAAAACCCTGCACCGTCAACACTTTCACAATTATGGACGTCTATAGAGGCAGCATGGCTCAATATTCCTGCAGCGGACTTCCAACGACTTCTTGAGTCCATGCCACGTCGAGTTGCTGCACATCGCCGGGCAAAAGGAGGACCAACAAAATATTAGGAGGTATCCCATGACTTTCATTGTTCATAACATAGATAGCTAATTAGCAATACACTTAATTAACTATCTATTTATCTGATCTCTGACTGTATAAATTATTAAATTAAGCAAAACTTTAAGTATAATGTAATTTAATATTTGCCTATTACACTTCAGTTGAACATACACACACATTATTTGTCTCATATCACATATTATATACCTTAGCAGTTGAAATTCCCTTTTCGCATTATTTACGCAATGAAATCTGATAAAATTATTACCCTTAAGCTAAGGTACTCTGGAATACCTTGTCACACAAGGAAGTTTTCCTTAAATTCTGCATTTTACCCCCTATTATTTTTAATTGTAAATAATGTGTAAAAACTGAAAAAATTAAATAAAAATAAGTTAAAGCATGCATTTATTTTTGAAAGAAAGGCACAAAAGAATTATCATTTCGAAATAATCATATATATTAAATGTTGATGCTTACGCATAGGAATTACACTGTAAAAAATTTTAGTTCAATGTTACACCATTTAATGGTTCAAAGTAAAATGTAGCACCAAAACATGGTTCAATTCTTTTCATTGTCCACTGAGATATGGTGCAATCAGTGCCGACGTGAACCTTTTCACAATTTTAACGTAATAAATTGCAGCCATTCAAAGCAAAGCATTCTAGCACATGACTAGTCTTCCCATGATTCCATGTTTTGAAAGTTTAATGGATAAAATCACTTAATTCTAATTCAGAATTCTGCTTTCAACCAAATGTTCCCCAATTTTTCTAAAAATTTTCAATCAAAATATCCATTCTAAAACAAATATTCATTGTGTAATTTGTTGAGCTTTACTGCCTAAATACCCTTAATAAATTTTCTGAACAAAGTTGCAGCATCATATGCTGATCTGCTTTCCATAATAATAATTATATAACAATAGTAAAATTTCTAATTGATCCAAAACAATATTCGTACAAGGAGTGCACTTATTCATTTCTTCAAAGAGAAAACAAATCATCGTGAACTATACTAGAAAAATCTATTAAGTATACACAGTGTGTCTCAGATACGAAGCTTTAGCTGTATTATGAACAAATTCTGCTTTTTAAGTATATAAATGTATAAACAATTAAAATTTATAATAAGACATACACAGTTTTTTAGTTTTGCTTCAAATAATCTTCTAGACAATCGCTCAGAACCAAAATACAGATAATTAAATCGAGATTAAACTTAAAACTCTTCTACAACTTCTCTTTTAAAAAATCTGAAGCAAATTTTAAAAAATTCCGTTTTAAATTTTACAAATGAAATTTGTGAAATTTTAGATCTTTAAAAAATAAGAAAACTTTATCATTTGGAAATCTATACACAGTTATACCAGTTTTGGAAATTACAATAATTTACTTTTTTTTTTTAAAATTTATTCTTGCGACTTACAACTTGAGACTTAGTTAATCCAAATTCTAGCATGAAATACTGCATGTACTAATTAATGGTTTTTTAATGAGAATGATTACAAATAAAGTGAAATTCTTGATGTTTCCTGAACATTTTATAACATATAACATTGTATAGTTTTATATGCAGAACTTGAAGTACTGTTCAGTTACTGAGAATATTGGTGGCAAGTATTGTATGATTATTTCCACCATACATAAATTACATTCTCATGGTGCATAAATTTATATCTGCAATTCGATACAACATTTAATTTAAAAACTGAAAGGAGTATCTAAAGTATGGTCATCAGAATGCAATGATATAAGAGAATATTATAAATGTAGTTTCATGATAGTAATTTATTTAAAAACCAAAATCTGCTTTTCATATTTCGTATTATTTATATATAGCACCAATCAAAAATGTTTTGAAATGCTTTTAGAAATTTAACGCTTTTGGAATAAGATAACTCAAATACTTTTTATCCATTTTTAGTGTAGAAGACTATACCTTTTAGAATATAAAATAAGAATTCCAAACCTTTACTCTAAAATATTTCCAAAATTAATTAAAATCTTTATTCATCTACTTTTTAAAATTTTTACATTTTGAACATGCCCTCATCTTTTAGTGGATAATACTTTAAATGGATGGACAACAAGAGGTTACCGAAACTCTAAAACGAATGACATAAAAATTTTAAAATATGCCATTATACAAATGATTGATATTTTATCGTAAATTATTATTCAGTGATTTAAGAAATTAATAATTTTAATATGATTAAATTTGATTGAAATTGAACTAAGGATTTACATCTTC